TGTTAATAGTATTGACTAACTCAATATACTTCTCAACTGCACAACGGAAACTTTTCCCTGGGACAAATTCCACGAACACCACCGCACCGGATCGAGTCAACAGGAGAAGGCGGACAAAATTTGGAAACTTTAAAAGCTCGCAACCCCGTTCATACAAATCGTTGAGGTTTTAAAAGCGGTTCCATCGGTTTTCTCGTGAAATTGTCAACTGTAAGCACTCCTTAAATTTAAAATGTGACGAATTAAATATCATTGGCAGTTTTAGTTACAAATGTATTATCCGACTTCTCTGATCGACTCCATCCACTTTGTCCCGTGAAGGCAAGGCCAAAGTTAGAAAATATCGTTTTTCGTACCCATTAGTTCCAACTTCCTACTCGCCAAAAAATAAAAAACGACTCAACTGAAGTGAAACCAACGAAAGGGAGGCCTCAGATTATATGAACAAAAAATTGATTTTATCAAAACGCGATGCATACTGACCATTCTTTGATTCTTAATATCAAGAAGAATTTCAATCGCTCAAATTCTAATCCATGCCCTGAGATGAACGGAATAGAGGAAAATTCAATCAGAGATCAGAAAAAGCCATCACAAACGACTGGGTGCCGGCGATCCAACCAAGAAAGAATTCAATTTCATTTTATGGAGGGAAAATGTCGGGCGCCAGCTCCCTCGTCCGTCGTTTTCTCTCTATTTTGAATAAAACGAAGGAAGGAAAAAATTGAAATAAGAATTTTTAAATAGTAATAACGCGCTTTTATTCCTCACAATAACATCTGTCAGTTACCAGCCTTACCCCGACTTCGCACTTCTCCCTCTCTCTCCGTCCCTTATTTTCTTCTCCTCCTCTCCCCCGTTATTTTTGCGTTCTTTTCTTTTGTCTCTAATTTTCAACTTAACATTGTGAGCCCCGATAAAGGTCACCTTTGTGATAAGCCTTAGGGTACTCGGGAATAAGTGCCAAACTTGATTTTGAGCCTTGAAATTTTCTTCTTTTTCAGCGAAATTTTCTAAAAATCTAGCAGCGCCGTTGTAAGTTCTTTCTCAATCGAATGCAGACGAATAAAGTGGGGGACGGTTCAGAGGACTCGAGATTCTCCTTTGTCCCGCGTTCCGTTCAGTTTTCTGTGAAAATGTTATTATTTTATTTTAATTAATTTTCCTCTGACTGTCGGTGCTTTGAAAGCGTTTATCCATTTTGAGGTCACTCGTGCGGAAGAACGGAACATACCTTGGACCTTAATTCGAGTTCTTTTTATTTTTCTTTCATTACGGTCGAAACGCACCCACTGATTAGGGTCGAGCTAGCGGCGGAGAGAGTACGTGTCTGCGAAAGTACCCGTCGAGGAGCACGGAGAACGGCTTAAATTCAGCGTGGTGAAATAATCAAAGGCGGCAAGCACCTTCAAATTTTTGGATATGCATAGGGCGTGTCAGGTGTCCTAATTATGAAAAATTTCGACGGCGTAAGTCCGCAATCACATATCTCGTTTTTTGTGTTATTTTTCTAAAGGTGAACAAATTTACATCACTCCTCGAAGTTTATGCAGAATTTCCTTCGCACAGAGAGGAAAAATAACGGCAGTTTTAAAGAATTGCCGTTGAGTAGTTTTCCGTTTAAAAAATAAAGCATGACGGGAAGTCTGCGACGTCGCAAACCAAGTTATGTGATTGCCAACTTACACCGTCGACTTAAAGTTTGTGTTAATATTGAGCCAGCGTTGAAAAGATACATCAATGTATTTTTGTAGTATTCTGCTTAAAATATTTGGCCTAATTTGAGTCATATTCTTTAAATATTCATAAAATCCTCCTAGATAAGTCCTGCTACCCAAATGTTTTTAAATTAAAGAGCCTTGTTTTCCGTTTATTTAAATTCAGCCGATGTGAAAGCATTATGTCTTTTAAAAATGTTCATTAATGTAAAAATGCATTCAAATTTCACTGCAATTATATCGAATTCTCCTTCATTCAATTAGACGTTATGTACATCCTTCTAAGTTACAGTATTGAGCTATGCGGGCTTCCTTCAGGAAGGTAGCCGTTAGTTGAGTTACTATGAATACGACCCTAAGTATGCTAACACAGGGGAACGGAAGTGCTCTAGTTTATGCAGTTTTTATTCACATTGGACGAATTTATGCCATCAACTGTAATAGAAAATACCGACCGGTATGAACGCAAAACGAAATTCCTTCCGAGAAAAGTTTTGATTGATCCCATTGCATACAGTTCGTGTCATATTCCCTATTTTTTAATTAACCCTCTAAACGTGGATTAAAATCTAAATTTTTATCATATTTGACAATCAATTGGACCGCGTTTAGCAGAAAGGAACCAAGCCACATTAGCTACTGCCAAATTTAACCGGACACTTTAATTTTTTACAAGAGAACGTTTGTGCGGACTCCTGTGAAAATTTTGAGGAATTTGCCCAGTACTGTGCAGGTGATTTACTGCAATTTGCACGAAAATCCGCACAACCGTTTTCATGTAAAAAATCCAATTGTCCAGTTAAATTTGACAATAGCTGATGCAGCTTGGTCCCTTTCTGCTTACCGCTGTCCAGTTGGCAAACATTAGTTATCCATCCCCGACGTCTCATAGCCGCTTCATTTGCATAGCTGGTATCAGCCGATTTTATATATATATATAAAAACTGTACTTATGAAATTGGATCGCAAAACTTCATTCTAAGAAACAGTCCATTTTTCCTTAAATTTTTGCTTCTTTTGTCTCTATGTGTCATTTTTTCGACAATTTTTTCCTCTCTCGCTCTGCACTGGAAAAAAACACATTGGATCTAGAGTCCAGACTCTAAAAAACATTGACAAGAAAAAATACTCTTGATTCGATCAGATTTAAGCTTAAATCAAGAACCAAGCCTCTTAATTCGAGGGGAATTCCTTTTGATTTAGCTTATATCTGATTGAATCAAGAGTCCATTTTCTTGTCAATGTTTTCAAAAGTCTGGACTCTAGATCCAATGTGTTTTTTTTTTCCAGTGTGTGTTTTGTAAAGTTTGTTTTATCATAGGCTCAAAGTTCACCTGCACGTACATTCTCGCAGGTCCTATAGATCACTGAGTCGGGAAATCCTTGCTAGAGTTGCGAGGCGCATCCTGCACCGCGAAAAGAGAGGCCTAAATGCAATATAAAAGTCGTAAGAAGCGTAAATGGTTTTGCGGAAACTCGCGCTCATATTTTACGATAACGAGACAACTTCGGTCGTAAGCTTGCGGTCCGCCGTCAAGCGCTGTTGCTAATTTTTGCAGTAATGAAACATTAAAACAAGCGGAAAAGCTCCGTATTAGAGAACCGCTCAGCTGTTTTCTAGGCGTCTTTTTAAGTTCTCTGAAGAAGAAGAAGAAGAAGAAGAAGAGCACCGTCGAGAGAAGAGTTTCAGCCACCAGGCGTTGCCAAATTCTCCCTTCGGCAAATTACTCATTTTCATTAAAAGTTGTGAATATTTCTCTCACGATTTTTCAAAGGATTTTGGTCGTAATTTGATCTAAAAATTCGGAAAGTTTCAATGAAACATATTCATAACTTTCTCAAAAAATAATTATTTTCTGAGAGGAAATTTAACGACGTTTGAATTTACATACGGCGTTTTTCCTCATCGATTTTTTTCCATTTGAGGCTACGGCAAGGAATCGACTATTAAGGTGTTCGCTGCGAGCACCTTGTCTATCGATCCTTTTTCACAGGTTTAAATGGCAGATCAATCGATAGATCGCAAAGCTCGCCACGCCTTTGCGGCAGGGTGCATATCAACGAAAAACTCCCATCTTAACCGAGTTGCCTCAGCTTCTCAGAAACCTCATTTTTGAGCCTGCAGTAAAGGAATAGCTTCTTGATCAGCATGCTGATTGTTGAACTTAATAGACAAAGCTATTCAGAAAGAAGATAAAAAAGATATGGAGGGATCCTATTGGTAGAAGCAAGTCGAGATTGCCTACGACCGAGAACCGCAGAACAAACATTTGCGATTGAAGATTTCACGATTCAAAACGCCTTCAAATACTGAGATACTTCACCACAACACATGAGAGGCGTAATAGTTGTCTCCTTGGCGCCTTCACGCGTTTTGAGCAGAGCGGAGCCAACCTGGGCTGTCTCTGGGCTAATTATTGAAATTAATAGGCAAAGCAATAGACAAAGAAAATAAGAAGGATTGAACGATCCTATCAGTAGAAGCGGGTGATTGCAATAGACAACGGAAGAATGTATTAGACTAAGTAATGGCACCCACAAGAGACAGTTGCAAAATTTCCTCGGATAAAACATGTCTTTTTGAGGGAAAGATATTCATATTTTCCTTAAAATATTCAAATATTTTAGATCGAATTGGGAAGAGAATCGTCTGAAAAATTTTAAGGAAAATACTCAAAATTGTCCTAGTAAATCCAGTTTTTATTGATGGAAATTTGGCGACGTTTAGAGACTCTACGGCGCACAGTGGATCGAGTCAATTAGAGAGGTCGGACATGAAATTTTTGACTCAAACTGGGAATGTCTGTGTTTATTTCGTCACAATTTCAATTTTAAGGGGTGGTTCTTGAAGAAAATTTTACGAGAAAACCAATGGAACCACTTTTAGAACTTAAAAACCTCGAATTGACGGAGTTATAAGCGTTTAAAGTTTCTGAAATTGTTCCGACTTCTCCTATTGACTCGATCCACTGTGCGGCGTTTTTCCTTAGCCCGGCAGAGGAAGCCTTGATACATTAGCGTCTACATCCGCTCTTTGAAAAAAGTTAAAAAGCACATGTTTTTTTTTTTTTTTTTTTTTTTTTTTTTTTTTTTTTTTTTTTTTTTTTTTTTTTTTTTTTTT